TCTTATGGTTACAATACTGGGGTTCTGATAAGTATTCTTACTTTTAATCTTGATTTTTTATAGAATTATATCAATTCAATTCTAATATAATAGCTTTGCTATATTCTCTATTCAAATAGGCTGCTTATTTTGAGTAGTACCCTAGCCATAGCAAAAAAAAGTGTTTGTAAAATGAGATTCTACTTGAACATCAACATTTTAATTAGACGAAATTAATCATCAAAATGTAATTTTCCCCCAACTTTGAGAGAAAATATCCCGACAACCACCTATCTAAAATTAAAAAATTTCTATTGATGTTAGATAGGTGGTTGTTGAGATATTTTCGCGCAAAGTTGGGAAAATCTACATTTTGATTATTGATTTCGTCCATTCAGGGTGTTCATCTCATTTTACCGACACTTTTTCGTTATGGCTAGGGTACTACATTTTGGGGTCATATGATTTAGCAGTCCCACGGGTCCGCAAGAACAGTTTATTAATAACCCATTGACTGACAAAAGCAATCGATCATAGGATATTACTATAATGATAAACATTGAGCAAGTTCTTTTATTTTTTTCTTACTTTAATGGGTTATGATTACGGGGACAAGAGAATACTATGGTTTTATGTAAAACGATTTATAGTGAAGTGGATAAATACTACTTGGACTACTAGAGTAAACTCAAACAATTGAGTGGAGGGAGATTGGCATTAGATAATTTTATTGAAATTATAATTTTTAATAATAGTAATTAAGTGAAATTTATATTTGCTCAGTAATTTCAACATTTTATGCAATAAATTTCACCATGGTTTCTTAATATAAAGATATTGTATATTGATTCGACTTTAATATTTTACTGTAATCTTTAAGTGATTTTTCATACCCTTTCATTAAGCAATTTGTTTCTACATGGTTATTCAATGTTCATGTATTTTTTTTGTTTAATTTACTTAACAAGAAATAAATGATTCTTCATACCCTATTATTATTATATAAATTGTTCCACGCCTTTCTAATGCATCCGCTTAAATCTAAGAGTTCATGAATTCCCAATTTGTCATGCCATGGGTTTTTTGTCGACTATTTAATGTACAGTATCTTCTGGTTTAATTTTTAATAAGTTGTCAAAGTCGGCAAGTGATTCTTATTCAATTTCTAGTGACTCATTTAAATGCGATGTGATTCCTCATATTTGTCCACCTATAATAAATTAATCCACAATATTTAGTATCATTTTTAATTTTTAATAACGTTTAAATATGCAAGCAATTTTTTATACCTCTGTTTTTCCACGATTTGTCGCATTATTTAGTTTGATTGATTTTTAGTACATTGTTTAAATCTACAAATGTTACTTCATACCTGCCCATCAGAGCTATAAGTTTTCTATAACTATTTAATGCATCTGATTTAATTTCTAATAAGATGTTGAAATTTGCAAACGATTATATCTTTTCAATGTACGATAGGTTTCTCCACAAATCCTTAATATAGCTCCATTATTTGGCTTAATTTTTAATAATTTATTCACTTTCATTTTATATAAATTATTCTGCGAATTATCGAATGTTCTTGTATTATGAAAATTAAGAAAATCATTGCATTTTACACTCATCTTGATACTGGGCACCTGGATTAAGTCTTTCATTATTACAAAAATCTTCATTGGTATTTTTAGAGATTTTTCGTTTTTTTATTTTTTTATCAGACTCTATTTGCGAATTATCCACAGCTTCATTTATTCTTTTTTTCTCAGACTGTCTTTTTTCTAGCTCCCGCTGTTTTTGCTGAGCTACAGTTTCAATTATTACATTACGTGCACGCCTACCGGCTGTATCACGCTCGACTGTCTTCTCTATATCCTGCCTATAAATGTTATAAAGCCTTTCTATGCCAATATTATAGCAAGCAAAA